CACTACATCATATATTGTGCCCCATTGGGGGGATATCTTGCGTCCTTGCCACCTTTCCTCGGTGCTGCCCACATGAAGAAGGGAGATAATGGAAATCGGGGAGCGAGCAGGAAGGGAGTGGATGAGGGGAGGGAAGAGGACGGCGGCAAGCGGGAGGGAGCGAGAAGATGGAGGATGAAAGGGGTTAGCAAAAGGGATTCGCAAGCGGAGATGGCAAGGAAGTCTCTGGCTAGAGCGCGGTTCCTGCATACATTCGGAGGACGTCCAGAGCGAGAGCACGATTCCAGAGCGCCGAGAGAGCTGTTCGTGAAGAAACTGGAAGGAATTCTCAGGCGAGGTCGTGATTCTTGGATACATTGCAACGAAGTCTCGAGCCAAGACCCGAGTATTCAATACATGGTAAGGAACTCTGAGGAGGGGACCGCTGTAAGTGTAAAGTGGGAACCGACAGCATAGTTTGGAGGCGCCACGCTGTCCATAGCAAAACAGAGGGCGTGCTGTAAAGACACAAATGACACTGGACGGGGGGATCAACAGTAGCGTGCTGTAGATGAGAAGGCTCCTGCTCGATACTTCCTCACGTTTTTCTGAGGGCTGGCTCGCCAGCTTGCAGCCGAAAGCCAGCCCTCCAACAAATCTCGCTCTCCAGTTTGTCATTGATCCTCGGCGCTGCAGGCCGCACTTGGCCTCGTCAGGGCGTCACTGCCCCCAAAGATGGCCTCCGAATTGGGTTCTGTAGCCATTTTGGCTCGAGCCATTTTCGCTCAAGCAGTGCTGGCAGGCGATTCGGAAGAGAGGATTTTGCGAATGGCTTACGGCCGGTGCCGCCGATCCCGAAGGCGGGACCTCCCCCAGGACCCCCGCTGGCGACACCCCCTGGGACCGGGCGGTACGTATTTTGACCCGGGATCTCCCCACCCTCCCACCCTCCCCAGGACCCCCCCCCCCTCTTGGCAGGCAAGGGGTAAAGGGAAGGGGATTCCCGTTGATTTACGACGTCCCTTTGTTTTTGTCCTGAATATCCTTGGGACTGTCGCCGGCGACGCCGCCGCTAGCGCCGCCGCCGACGACGACGACGACGCCAGCATCTTCCACACGCCGAAGGGTCGGCATATTTCTATTTACGTCGAGGCGTCAGAAACGTGTCCTCGAGATGTGCCCTCGCGCTGCGACGGTTGCGACCGTACTTGCCGCAATCGGATCAGAAGCCGCACCTGATCAGCCTCAGTTCTCTGCCTTCACTTGGAAAAACGACGCGCCGAATGACATCCCTTTCAAGCGCAGTTCCCTTTTCACAGAGGTCGAGTTCACTGGCCGCTATGCCACATACGGCGGTGCCGATACGTGGTATCCGTCGTGGGGCGCCGACGGCAATCTGTACACCCCGTGGACGGACGGTGCAGTAAACGGAGTTCGTGCCTTCAGCGGCTGTGCCTCTGAGGGCTGCATGTCGAAAACCGGTTTCGCCACCGTTACCGGCGATCACGCCCTCAATCTGACAGTGCAGGACGTCGGCACATTCGACTCATCGCCTTCACCTTACCATGGTCGGTATCCTTGTGGCTCTCTTTACTACAACAGTACGTGGTTTTATGGGACGTATACACTGGACAACGAAAATCATCAGCCAGGATCCTTGTCACGGGAGCCCATCGAAACACAATTACGATTTGGGCGTGCTGGGTATTGCGATAATTGGTGCATACAAGGCCCCTTCGCAGGTTTCCGTTGGAGTCGCGACAAGGGCAACACTTGGCACGAGCCTCGGGTACACATGAAGGGGTGGGACGACAATATCTTTGGAGAGCAGGCACCTGATAACCACACCTCAAAGGTCAAGTACGGGGCACCGCATGTCGTTGACTTGGGTCGAGAGCTCGAGCATGCACCGCAGGGCGATGATACGCCTATGATGTATGTAGTTGGTCATGGTACTCACGAGTCCGAGTCTCCGTCCTCATGGATGCAAGGTTCCGATGTCTACATCGCACGTGTTGCACCTACCGTGGAGGCCGTGGAGGACAGGGCACAGTGGGAGTTCTATGCGGGAGACGGCAAGTGGGTCGCTGGTGATGTACAACAGGCGAGACCGTTGCTATCGTGGGGGAACCGCACCGGTGTCACGACCATGACCTACATACCTGCCGTCAAGCGCTACATTATGTGCATATCCACACCGACCTTTAGTCCGTTCACGGAGGAGGAGTTCGACACTTATTTCTTGGAGAGCGAGGGCATAACGGGGCCATTCTCGTATATCACATACATGCGTATGTTTGGGCCAGAAAGCTATTTTGTGAACATCCCGAGCAAGTTCGTATCGCCGTCCGTCGATCCTGAAGATGGGTCATTATCCCTTTTCTTGAGTTACTCTGCAAACTTCGCCTTCCACAGTGGTGCAAATCCCCCTGGGAGCGGGTACCATTGGACATTGCAGGAAATAAAGTTCCGCCCGGGGCATAACGCTACGCAGCGCCAAGTATTTGTCTGATGTGCCATAGTGTCCCATGCTCAGTCGCTGCCGCTGTGCATCGAGTTTCACGCAGGGGTCGTGTTTGTTCTTTTCTGAGCCACGGTGGTGATCGTAGCGACGCTTGAGCAATCGGGCTGCCGCCTTGCCAGACCTCGGAATCGCCAATGACCTGCCCGTGCTCGGCGCTCCGCAGGCCCCAGGATGGCCCTCGGGAGGACCCGAGACAGGCCTCCGGGGGCCCCGCCGGAGCCCCCACGTGCCCCGCCCGGTGGAGTCCCACGGGGCCCCCAGGAGCATCACAACACCTTCAGCGTCGGCGGCTAGGCAGGGCACGTCTGCACTGGCGATGAGAACCAAAAAAAAAAAAAAAACACCTCTGCACTGGCGATGGGATGCCTGAACGGGGATGCGACCCAAGCGCATTGTGCCACCATGCAGGAGGCGGAGAAGGGCGGAGGCGCGGCTGAAACAGAGGCGGGCGGAGCGGCCGGCTCAGGGGGGGACGGATCGCTCCCCGAGCGAGCGGCGCGGCCGGCCCCGCCGGCGAGTCCTCGGCGGCTGCTGCGTCCTGGGGCCGGCGGCGTCGGGGCCCAGTGCAGGGATGGTTTATCCCGGGTAGAATGGGGGTGCGTGACGAACGGTATTATCGAGAGTCTCACAACACAGTGCCGAAAGGGCCCCACAAGAGCCTTCCCCGAGCCACAGCTCCGAGGCTTTGCCCAGCAGCGATGCTCGTCGGTGTCTCGCGCTTCTCTCCGCGGTTAGGCCAGGGACGCCCCCCCCCCCCCCCCCCCCCCACGCCAGACTGCCAGCCACATTCAGTACACAGGCAGGGGGTGGGGGTAGAGGGAGGGGAGTGTCGCAACGTGGGGTAGGGAGGGAGGTAAGCCCCTCCCCGAAGGGGAAGGAGGGGTGGGGACGGAATCAATTCCCCCAGCCACGTACGCCCAGCAGGCTAGTGGGATTTGAAAGGGGCCTCCTCCGCGGAAGGGATCGATGCGCCAGTCCTTTCTCGCAAACGCAGTTGATCCGCAATGCAAGCGCAGAACTGTTCGATGTGTAGATACCTGCTCACAGAATGGATCGCCTTGCACATCCTTATCTGGTACATGTGGCACATCAAGGATCCACATGTATCGCCCACGCAGAAGGACTCGGTTGAGAACTCATTTCTGCAAACAGGAACACGTTGCAACGCCTCCCCCGCATACCGATTTCAGGTGTTGGTCCGTCACGCAAGGAATGTGCCAGTAAAGCCCACGCATACGCACTCAGTTTTATCAGTTTTAGAACCCCTCCAAGTCGGAATCGGCCACGCCCTCCCGATCTGCGGCGAGGGGGGCTTCCGCCGGTCCCCCCCAGCCCAACCCCCCTGGGCGCCATATGATGCTCAGGGGCAGCGCTAATTAGGGGGGATGGGGTATGCTCAGGGGGAGGGTCTGGGTGTGGGTCGAGGTCTGGGTGAGGGACGAGGTTCGAGATTTTACGTCTTCGTGTGTTCTCTGCTGTTTTCGAGTCCCAGGATGCGTTTCAGCAGCTGCGCATAGGCTTGCTGGTGGTGCACAGATCGTCCCGAATCCCCACCAGAGGCCTCAGTTATGACCCGAACGCCTGCGGGCATTAGGGGGGATAGATGGGGGGATGCATCGGACCCCAATCTCCCATTGATCGCCGATGGGGGCCCGATAACGGCGACGCATAGACGCGTGATGTCTGCAACGAAGATTTCGGCAAATAAGATTTCTGCAACGAAGAGGAGCAGAACATCCTGCGCGTAATGTACGTTTTATGTTTGCATTGTTGTTCTTTGTTTGACGAGTTGTGATTAGCCTCTGTACGCAAGGAACCCCGCCACAGTGCCACCTGCTGCGTAAAGACACCGGCAACGCATACACGTACAAGCGGAACGGACGGAGGAGCAGAAGCCACGGCATCATGCCTTGCAGTCGTCGCCTGGCAGTCGAGAGGGCGGAGGGAAGGGGAAGGGAATGTCAGCAGCACGGCGCACGACGACGAGCAGGAGGAAACGCCGAGGGGCGCGAGGGAGGAGGGACGCCCCCCCCAACCGGCGGCGACGCGCACAGCGCGCGCCCTGCGCTCCACGCAGGGTGGCCCTGGGGTTTGGGGGGAGGGAACGACCAACGGGACCCTGAGGCTGCTCAGAGAGGGGACGGATCCGCCCACTAATTGGGTTGTGGGCAGAAGCTTCCGCCCCACCGTGACTTGCTTTCAAAGGTGGTCTTCCGGATAAAAAGTGGTGCGTCGTGTGTCACCCGAGGCAGACGTTCCGCAGCCTGAAGGAGCTTGAATCGAAGAGGAAAAAAACGGCAGAACAATCAACGTGTGGCGCTCCGCGCGGATTTCTGGGATCCGCGCTGGGCCTCCCCCCCGGCGGCGTCCCCGGCGCCGCCCCTGCCTGGCGCGTGGAGCGCAGATCCAAGCAATCCGCGCCGAGCGTCACAAGTTGTTTTGTTTTATGACATTTGTTTTTCCTATCGGAGGTTGAGAGACCTCCTACGCTGCCACGTCGATTTGCGAATTGGCCGTTTTCGGTTCGCGAGAGGGCGTCGCGGACGTCATTTCTTTGCGGGCCCCGGTCCGTCGGTTTCGGTCCCACGCCGTTGGCAGTAACCGGTGGTCTGCTGAAGGGAAGTCTGCCCGCCGCCCAGACCACGAACGACGACGGGCGAACGCATGACACGGCGGAAGAGCGAGAAGAACCGTGGCACGACGCAGCCGCGGGCAGCCGGGGAGGGGGGAAGGCTTCCTAGGAGCACCCTGCTTCTTTGGGGGAGGAGGAGGAGGAGGAGGAGGAGGAGGAGGAGGAGGAGAGGAGGAGGAGGAGGAGGAGGAGAGGAGGAGGGGGAGGAGCCAGGCCCGCCCGCGGGCGCGCGCGCGCGCGAGCCGCGCGCGATGGCGGGGTCGGCGCGCGGCGGGGCCCGTTGGGCCCGCTGCGGCTGCTGCGCGCCCGCGCCCCCGGCCGCGGGGCCCGCCGCGGGCTGCTGCGGAGCGCCCCGCGGCCCGGGGGGGGCTCGCGGGGGGGCGGGCTCTGCGAGGGGAGATCACCACCCACCAAACCACCCCAACCCAGCCCGAAGGTCCAAATTTATCCTCGATTTCCAGTGGGGGGGGGGGTCGGGGAACATTGAAAAAACACATGGAATCCATACCCCCCCCCAACCCGAAATTCGGGTCAAATTCGGGTCTTCGGGTTGGGTTGGGGTGGTCTGGTAGTTAGTCAGGAAAGGCCTCCCAGGTGGGGTCGGAGGAGCGCGCCGCAGCGCCGATGCGTCGGCGATGCGTCGGCGATGCAGCGGCGATGCGGCTCGATGATCAGAGGGGGGAGAATATATCCATACCGCTACCCTTTCCTCGTTTTCCCCTTTTGTGGGCCTCCTGGGCGGCACTCGTCACCACCGCCGGATCCGCCTCGAAGTTCTCGTCAGAACGCACCCCGGGAGAGGTCTGGGGAGTAGCGGCATCGGTACCTTTAGCTCTCCCCAGATGGGGCTCGATGAGGGGCTCATTTTTCTCCACGCCGACGTCGCCGATGCGTTGCCACCGTCGCCTGCGCATGGCTGATGTATCGCCGATGCATATATATATATATATATATATACACATATATATATAATGTATATTAAACTAAAGGTGAATCTATGTATACGCACATATTTGTATATGTGTATATATATATATACATACATATAACGGCGCACCGGGTCCGGGGGCCCGGGGCCGGGACCTCGACCACAAATGTGGGCCCCGGGGGGCTCGGAGGCTCGTCGGGGCTTGCCGGAGGCCTCCCCGGTCAGACAAGACGGCCCCAGAAGCGCCCAAGACGGCCCAAGAAACTTCCAAGAGGCCTCCAAGAGGGCTCCGAGATGCTGAAGATGGCCTCCAGACGTCCAAGGACGCCCCCAAGAGGCCCCAAGAAGCCTCCAACATGCGTCCCAAGAGGGCCCCTAGACGCAAAAATTGGCCCATTCCCTTCGTAAAACGTACATTTTCAACAAAGTTGTCTTTTGGGCTTTCCGACGTTACAGGACGGCCCAAGAGGCGCCCAAGACCGCCCCAAGACGGCCCAAGAAGCTTCCCAGAGGGCCCCAGGACAGCCCAAGAGGGCCCCAAGACGGCCCAAGAGGCGCCCAAGATGGCCCAAGAGGGCCCCAAGACGGGCCCAAGAGGGGGCCCAGAGGGGGACCACGAACCGCAAGCTCGAGCCTTCCGCCCCAAGAGGCCGCCAAGGAGGCCCCCAGGAGGCCCCTCAAGAGGCCCCAGGAGACCCCCAAGAGGCCCAAAGGAGGCCCCGAGAAGCCCCAAATCGGCCCCCACAATGCTTCGAACCTGCTTCCAGGAGGCCCCCGACAGGTTCAGAGGCTCCCAAGAAGCTACGTCAAACTCCCAGCGAGCGGCCGGACGAGGCCCCCCAAAAAATCCCAAGAGGGTTCCAGTATTTGTATCCTTCAGCGCTCTCTGGCCTTCTTCCCCCTGCCCCCTTCCCTGCGACTTTCGTTGACTCAAGCTCGCCTCCTCTCCATTTCCTCTCTCTGCCTCTCTCTCTCTGTTTTCTTCTCTCTCTCTCTCTCCATCTCTCTCTCTCTCTCCTTCGCTCTCTGTCTGTCTGTCTCTCTCTCTCCCTCTCTTTCTCTCTCTTTCTCTTTCTTCCTTTCAGATTCCGTGTCTTTGCGACCTTCGGCAGTCCCCGACGTCGCCACGGCTGGATCCGCTCGAGCGTGTCTTGTGATGTGCGGCGGTGCGAAGCCCGTCCCACTGATCAAGGCACAGGTACGAAATGATGGGTCCATCATTTCTTGCCTTCCCATGTGCGTTTTCCCAATCGATTCCTGGGCCCGAGGTCGCAAAAATTACGACGTCGGAGGTCTGGGGAGGCGGGAAGCACGACCTGGACCTCCGACGTCTTGGAAAAATCACGACGGCGGTTTCGGTCAATTTTCGGCCTCCGGGGCCCCTCGCAGGGTCCCGGGACCGTCAGAAAACGACTCAGGATGAAAAAAAAACACATCCCCAGGAAGTCGTCGAGAGGTCCAGGGGCCGCGCACAGAAAGCATCACGACATCGGACGTCCAGAGAGGAGGTAGGAACACGAGGAGGAGGGAGCCCAGACCTCCTGGCGACGCAACACCAAAGACAACAAAAGCTTCCCCGCGACTTCCCCCAGAGACTCTAACTACAGAAACTCCTTTCGTATTCCGGCCAGAAGCAGCCAGAAACGATGTACATTAGCCCTGGCGGGGGGAATGATGGCGATGGTGATGTTCATGATGACGACGTTGACGATCCTAGCTAGAACCTAAGCGCGCGCGAAGCGCGCGCGTGGTTCTAGTATATATATATATATATATGTATAGATCCGATGCCTCCCCGGTGCGGCGAGAGCCTCCGACCCCATCTGCTCGGACCCCAGGCAGGAGGCCTCCAGAGAGGGGGGCGGCTGCCGCCCGGCCTCGGCTGGGAGTCTCGCTTTGGGGGGGCTCGGGGGGGCCCAGCACACCTTCGGGCGAGCAGGGGGGGGGGGATGGACAACTCGAGGGGGGGCATTGACAACTCGAGCGAGCAGGAGGGGGGGGATGGACATCTCGAGGCGCCAGGTTCGAGGAGGTGGCGGTTGCCTTGTTCGGTCTCCGGGGGCCGTATAGGCCGGGCACTGTGGGCAGCTCTGGAGCGGCGGACCCCGACGCTCGGGTCCCGGCGCACTCTCGGATCCTGGCGTGGCATTTTTCTCACAGCGGGCGTGTTCGCCGAGCTTCGGACCCCGGGACCCTCGGATCGATCTGGCTCGAGAAAACTGACAGGGAGGCAGGGTATAGGTTTTAAGTCGGGCTTGTCCTTCTACAGGGGGGAAGTTCAAAAGTAGTCAAAAATTGTCAGGGGACTATCTTTTGAGTATTTTTTGTACCATTTTGGAGCATTCGTTGCGTATTTTTCATTATTATTCGTCGAAAATCCCCCTGTGGGGGGACACGCCCGACTTGGTCTCTGGCCGTGATTTTTGGGGTGATCTTCCGGCAGGGGCGGGCTCCGAGGGGCGGCTGCTGGTCGGCCTCGTCCTCCTCGTCCCCATCGGTGGCAATTTCTGGTAGCCCTAAGTCGGGCCTGTCCCTCTGCAGGAGGGGTACTCAAAAGTAGTGAAAGAATAGTCAGGGGAATATTTTTGGACTATTTTGGAGTTTGTTTTAGGTATTGTTGGACTATTTTTAATTTTCCGCCCAAAATCCCCCTGTAGGGGGACAGGCCCGACTTAATGGTAGCCTCCTATGGCCTCGCAATCCCATGTTCAAGGTGCTTGAGCGTGCGATACCGCCTGCTAGTCTACGAGAACGCGCCGGCGCAGCGTCGATCCGCATCGAACCGGCGCGGCTCAGCCTCGATTCTTGTCGATTTACCGTCGGACGGAGTCGATCCGTTAGGATGCAACTCCTGGGAGGTCAAATTCTGATTTAGCCCTGGTCCGAAATCCCGCTTCATCTGGCTTAATCCCGCTTAATCCCGCTTAAGCCGGCTTAATCCCGCTGAGTCCCGCTTAATACGGCTTAGTCCCGCGTGATCCGAGGCCCACTGTGGCGTAACAGTCCCCCAATGGGGCCTAATCCTCCTTAGTCCTTCCGACGAAAACCTCCCGGTAGTTGCTTGTTGCTTCCTAGGATTCGCTGGAGCCACGGTGGCACGGAGTGCCCCCCGTGAGCTTCAGCCCGAGGTCCCGAGGGGGCGGCTGCGGCTCGGCCTCGCCCTCGTGCTCGCCTGCTCTCCGTCGTATCGCTTGGACGTGTGCAGTTTGTCTCGGCGGGGATTCGCAAGGTCAAGTCGGGCCTGTCCCCCTACAGGGGGGATCTATCCAAAAATAGTCAAAAAATTATATGGGGCCTATTTTCTGAATATTTTTCGGGGCACCCTTTGAGCATTTTTTGCCTCTATCTTATTCTGTCGCCCAAGATCCCCCTGTAGGGGGACACGCCCGACTTACTATTGAGGAGCATCCTGGATCACCCTGCGACAAAAACCACGCACGAGACCGAACAAGAAGCACAGGGCAGGGACGCCCGAGCGACGGGGCGTCTCCCGCGCCGCCCTCGCAGGGCAGGAACAGCTGCAGTGGGGGGCCCGTGCCAAGGCGCATCCTGCTTGCCCCCAGGGTGCCCTGGGCTTTTTTTGGGTTTCGATGGTTTTGCCGTGGAGGGCGTGACGCTCCCACACCAGACTCAGGAGGGAACAAAAACACACAGACACACTGAATCGTCGACTCCCCCGAAAATATGGGAAGATCTGGGAAGTGGGGGGGGGAAGGCAAAAGCCCAGACCATCTGGGAACATGTGGGGGATCCTGCCATTTGTGCGCGTATCTATCTGTGTGTCCCAGGGCCCCTTCGCAAGCATCGATGCACATCCTGGGGTCTCGGGCCGGGGTGTCTCGTGGAAGGTCTCTCTCTCGTGGTCGGGCCCCCGCGGCAGGCCCGGTGCCGCACGGCCCTCCTCGCGCACGGGCCACGCGTCCGGCTCCACGGCCTCGCATGATTTCGGGGCGCCTGAAGTGGATTCCCGGGTGCGGCCGCGCACAGCGTGCCCCCCGCGTGCGGCCGCGCACCCGCGGGCTCGCGCCCGTGTGGAGTCCGGGCCGCGAGAGCGCGGGGATGCACGTGCGGATGTGCATCGGTGGGCCGCTCGTGCCCTGCCCTCCGCGCCACGGCTGGGGTCGTCTCGGAGTCCTGGTCCCGAGGGCCTTCGCCCCCCGTCGCAGGTCTCCCTCCCCCCTCTCCGCGCCCCTTCATCTTCCTCCTCCCACTTTCCCCGGCCCCCCCCCTCTCCTCTTCCTTTCTTCCTTCCACTCAGTTCCTGCTGCTCCTGCTGCTGTTTGTCCTCGTTCTCCTCCCTCCTCACCCTCCAGCTGTTCCTCCTGCTTATCCTGCTGCTCACCCGCCACCTCATCCTCCGACTGCGCATAACACGATGGGGTCTGCTCGGGAGTTCCAGGTCGGCTATGACACGCGTCCGCAGGTAGATGTGACGCCTAGTTTGTTAGGAACGGCCAGGGATGGGGGGAGGGATGGGATGTCAGATATGGCGCCTATCTTGTCCTCCTCGCCCTCTCCCCGGTGCCCCCTCCTGACGTGACACTTGTTCCCGCTCGTTCGGTTCTCACTTTGGGTCCGGACGGGTCCAGATCCGATCTCGGTGCTGGTGCGTTGTTGGTTCTGCCCGCATGCATGCACATCTGTCTCTACAGTCACAGCACATCGCATGCGTTTTTATGTGTGCGCATCAGCCGGTATTTGGATAGCTGTGGGCGCGAGGAGCACTATGGCAGTCACTGCAAGCGGGGTTTGCCGTCCTGGTGCTGGTCTACGTTCTGTTGATGGCGCTGGTAGTCTTCGTGGTCGACCTTCCCAGAAGGCCGCGAGCCGCCTCCGCTGCTCTGCTCTGCGCACCGTCTTCGCGGGCGGGCTGTCCATACGTACTCACGGCGGGTCGACTCTCAGAGCACCGAAGCGTGGTGGACATGGATGCAGGCCTGGCCCCCAGCAGGTCCATCCTCCATCCGTGTGCACTGCGTTCCCGCTGCCTGCATCCAACTCCAAGAGGCCGTGCATGCGGATGACACTGTTGCCCGCCGCCTTCTGGCCGAAGGCGTCGGCCCCCCCCTGGCCCACATCTTCGGGGTTTGCTCAGAGCCGTGCCCTCTGCTCTCTCGTGCTCCCCGCTGGGCGCAGGGGACACACGGTGGCGTGCGGCAGGCCGTGGGACATCTGCAGGAGAAGAGGCGCATGCGCACTGGGAACAGGTCTTGCGATGTCGAGGTGAGGCTTTGTGGTGAAGCATTGTGTTGGCGAGGCCGATTTGAGGGATAGGTGCGCGATGCTGTGGAGGCGTAGCATGGCGAAATGATCGGATGCTCCGTCCATGTGACTGCTTACATGACCGATTGCAATTCCTTGAAAGGCCTGCCACGTGCCTGGTTCGCTGCGCCCTTTGTCGCTCGAGCGCCCCAAAAAGGTCCGCCCTGTCCCATCCTCCTCACCCCCAATCCTCGTTCCTCCTCCTCCTCCTCCTCCTCCTCCTCCTCCTCCCACGACGACTGCTACTACTACCCCCCCTACTCTCACTCCTCCTACTCCTCATCCTCCTCCTCATCCTCCCCATCCTCCTCGTCGTCCTCATCATCCCCCCCCTGCTCCCTGGGTCCCCGATACTCCCTGGGACGTCGTCAGGTTGCGCCAGGATGGCCCCCAGGTGACGCCAAAGCATTCCCAGGACGGGGTATTCATGGCGGGGTTGTTGGTGGAGGCATGCGCTCGAGAAGAGGAGCGGGGAGGAGCGACCGTACTGTCCTCTGTGTGGTTCAGCTCCAAGTGGCGTAGCATGTAGCCTGCCGATCTCGCTCACAGCATTGTCCACCACGGTCTGGTCCAGCATGTGCGCACCACTCCCCTCACTTCGGCATGGCTCTCTGCCAACACCTCCTGTTGGTTCGGGGCGCTTTCGCCCTCCATTTTACCATGAGTGAGCACGGCGCCGAGCACAGTGTTTACAGGCCTACTCCTGTCCAGCCATGGCCCTCGGCGTTCCTACTGTTAGCCGATCATTTGCGGCGCAACTACGCACCTCTTTGAGTCATGAAGCTGAGAGAGTTGGATCTGCTGGTGGGCATGAGGTGGGAAGATCAGGCAGTGCTCCCCGCACAGATCTTGTATGCGGGGCTGGCCGCGCGTGTTAGGATGGCAGGTGATGGCTGGCAAAAGTTCAGCCCCCACCCCACCCCCCCACATTGTCCTTGCTTTCCCGATGCACCTACCGACTTGCTTCCTTTTCGACCTCTGCGAAGGCTATGTGGACTGCTCTTGCAGCTGGGCACGAGCCAATTCGGCATGATCGTGGAGCACGCTTACGCGCTCAGCGTGTGTAAGCTCCATGTGACCTGGCTGCTGCGCAGAAGGGTTTGCGACACGACTTTCTGGTTAGACCTGAATGGACGAAGGGGACGGACCATTGACCATGTGGGTTCTATGAGTTACAAGCTTTGGCAAGATACCAGCGTGGGTCCCAAACGACGACTCCGTGCCTTATGTGGGGCCCCGTGTACCCGGTGCAATCTACGGGATGGGATATATGAAAAAGACATATTTGGTGGCCTGCGGCCCGCCCCGCCACCGTGTGCCTGGGTCGTGGACGAAACGCATCTGCGAGATTGCCTTGTGTCTTGCGGGTGGCATCTTGGGCTGTCTCGGAGCCCTCTGAAGCGATCGTGGACGTGGCGCGTCGAGGGAGCCTCTGGGGTGCGTCTGGGGGGCTTGTTCTGTGGTAGCTTCCTTGGGGCTCCTGGGGGCCTCTTGGGGGCCTCTTGGGGCCTCTTGGGGCGCCCCTTGGGCGCCTCCTGCGGCCTGCAGGGAGTTCCGGGGGGGCGAGTGCTCGCACTGCCCGTTCGGGGTCTCCCCGTCGGGGCCCCCTCCTGTCTCGGGGGGCGTCAGGGGTCGTCTGGTAGACCTCTCGGGGGCCTTCTGGATCCCTTTTGGGCTGTAACCAGCCGGCCGCTCTGTGGTTGATCGTGAGATTCTGCGTATGGGAGAAAGGGCGCGCGCGTTCGTGGTCGAGAGCAGAAGCGGCGGGAGGCGGTGGCAGCCAGCCCCTCCCGCTCCCATGCCGGCAACCACCACCTCCTCCACGTCCTCCTAGGAAGTCTCGTGAAATCCTTGGAGGTCGTTCCTCCTCCTCCTCCTCCTCCTCCTCCTCCTACTCCTCATACTCCTCATCCTCCTCATCCTCCTCACTTCCTTTCCCCTGAAAATAGCGTGTCCTTGTCGCACCCCGAGGCAAGGTTTCTAGGGCGGGCCAGGCGTTTCGCCTGAGATGTCCTCCCCATCTACGACCCTGAAGCTTAAACATTGGCAACAGTTTCACAGATGGAGGGCAGGTCGTTTTCAAACTAGCTCCGCGAGCATTTTACGTAGCACCCGGCAATTGCGGATAAGAGTGAGGGCGCGGGCGCGGGCGACGCGGGCGTCGATCCGGCGGACCTCGTGGCCCTCACGTATGCAAAAGAAGCCTGGAACGAATGCACAAGAAGCACGCCGCAGGCGCCGACGATTTTGGGTGGGCCGCGGGGTGGGTCGCGGGTGGGTCGCGGGTGGGTCGCGGTGGGTCGCGGGTGGGTCGCGGGTGGGTCTCGGGGTGGGTCGCGGGGTGGGTCGCGGGTGGGTCTCGGGGTGGGTCGGGTGGGTCGCCGATGCAAAAGAAACCCGCCGCAGGCGCCGAAGTTTTGGCTTGTTCAGTGAACGTAGTTTGGGTCGCGGGTAGGTCGCGGGCTCTCCACCTCCACCTGGGAGGAATTCAAAAACAGTCCACCGCAGGCGCCTCGCTTTGTACACTGAACGCGGTTTGGGTCGGGGGTGGGTCGCAGGTTCTCCACCTCGAACGACCTGGAACGAATGCAAAAGAAACCCGCCGCTGGCGCCGACAATTTTGGGTGGGTCGCGGGGTGGGTCGCGGGTGGGTCGCGGGTGGGTCGCGGAGGAGGAGGAAGGGGAGGAGGAGGAGGAGGAGGAGGAGGAGGAGCGTGCCGAAGGCACGGTGGCGGATATGAGTCATGACGTGTATACATGCAATAGTTACGCACCACTTGAGACTCCTTCAGGCAAGTCCTCGCCGCACCAGAATGACATGTTTACGCAGATATATACACAGGGTAGGTTTGCGCCGCGTCAGCGCGGCGGCGACCCCAGCGCAGGCGTTGAAGCTCGAACCCCGCCAGTGGCCCAGACTTGGCCGATGTCGAGCGATCTGCTCTGTTTGAGAGCCGCAATCCTTCAAGGTCGAACGATCTACAAGTCGTCAGAGCTCTACTCACTCGGAGAGGCGCGTACGATAATATCTTTGTCACTATTTGTGTATATGCATGCATGTATGTGTATACATATGTGGTATTCTTGTGTGTGGGCCCCTGCAGTATTGTATTGTATCGTGTGAGATTCTATCGTGTGGAATCCTGCGCTGTGCGGCCTCATCGCGCGGGCCCGTTGCAATGCCGGACCTTACGTTGTGAGACCAGATCGTGTGGGACCTCAATCAGTTAGGATCTTCTCTCGGGGGATCCCACCGCGTAGAACCCTATCGCAACGGGGTCCTCACTGTGTGGGCTTCCCTCGTGTGGAATTCCGTTGTGTGGGACCCTATCGCGGGTGGGCGCCTACCGCATTCGGGTGAACCGAGGAGGGGGGACGTTCAACCGTTCATTGCCTGAAATCTTAGCAACCACGGCCACATCTCACTTAGTAAGAACTCATGGGTGCAAGCGCTGACCGGGGCATCACTGAATTGGACTTCGGTTTTGACTTCGGATTAGATCATCTGCCATGTTGCGCCGCGGTTCAGCAATCTGGGACTTTGTCCGACTGTGGTCCAATTGAATGGGGCCAGCCAGGTTGGGGAGTCTGGATTGACATGTCGTTTTCACAGCGCTCGCTGCTGCCATTGTACAGTCAAAGCGCTGAGATACGTACCACTTCGGGCTCAGAAGGGTCTCTGGTTTTCGGGCCGTTTCGCCGTGCCCAGAAGAGCCCCCTCGTTTCCTAGCCAGCGTTCTGTCTTGTAGCGCGATGGGCGCTCATTTGTAACGCTCGGTGGTTCCCAGTCCGTCGCCCCACAAGTCGGAGGGCTGCCCAGCCCAGGGCCCCACCATTCCGGGTCGGCAGGTCTGGGACAGGGATAGATCGTTCCAGAGTGACCCGCAGCGCTCTCAGAGCGTTCCGGACCGCTCTGGGAATGCCGCGGCGCCCTCCAGAATCGCCAGATCTCAGAGATCCCCAATTCATCCATGTCCGATGGCGAAGGCCCTATGGCCTGTGAGGCCGACCCGGAAAGGGGACGACGACGCGACGTCGACGATGACTACGACGCCGACGGCGACGGCGACGACCACGACGACGGTGGCGGCGGCGGCGGTCCGGACGAAGACGGCAATTGCGGTGGTGACGACGCAAAACATTCAAGAGTTGCATATCATTGATTCTGGCATCTTTGGATTCTCTTGGGGTGCCCTTGGGCCTCTCTTGGGCCTATTTGGGGCTTTTTCTCTTCGGAGCTTCTTGACCGCCTCCTGGGGCCTCCTGGGGCCTCTGGCGGAAGGCTTGAATGCCGGATCTGCAGTCGAGACGCGAAAGTAAGGACCCTTTTCGGTTCAGGAGGGTCTCGGATTTTCAAGCCATGTCTTACATGTTTGTCATCTCGGGGAATCCGTTTGTGGTTTAGGCCCAACGTGGCCAGAACAGGCTGTTCGTTCCTTACGATGCGTTCTCTGTCGTAGCACGACGACTGTGTTCATCTCCGGGTATGCCCTTGTGCTGGCCTCGTCTTCTGCTGAGCCTGGCGCCAGCCATTTAGAGGGTCGTCTGGGCACCCTCGCGGCGGCCGCGTGCTCGCCTCCTTCATCCCCTGCGGGTCGGCGCCGCCCGGGCCGTTCGAGCGCGGCCATTCTGGCGGTTTTTCGCCTCTAATTCTTTGGCCCCCCCCTACCAGGGCCCATTTCGACTCCTCTGATTCGGTTCGATTCGATTTCGATCGATTCCGATTCCGAGTCGATTTCGGATTCCGATATGGAAATCGATCGCTCAATGGAAGCCTTACTCGCCTACTAGCCTTCCGATTTCCGCCCATTCGACTTTCCCCGACTTGGCTGCCGAATTCTGCTGGCCCGATTTATGTCGGCTACCGATCCGACTTCTCGATTCGTTTCTGGATTCGTGCCCCACCAATGACGTGGTCGTTGGGCCGGCTGGGAGTCTGAGGTGGCCCAGCAAGTTGCTTGTGGCCACCAGGAAGCGGGGGCAGGTTCGAGGTTCTGGGCGGACAGGCTTCTGGTCATGTTCGGCCTCTGGGGGCTGTATCCTGCCCCGGGGCCGTCGAAGACGAATGTGCGGTGAAAAACTGCACTTGCCCCGAGCCCCCTTTCTTGACCGATTTCCCCGCGAGGCCCATCTAGTTCAGACCCCCCGGCCGCCTCCACACTGGGTCGCCCAGACAAGACGGGAGACGCGGGGATGCATCCCAGAGGCTCAGGGGAAGATCAGGGGGGAACAAAAACACACAGACACAATTAATCGTCGATTCCCCAGAAAATATGGGAAAGTAAGGGAAGTGGGTGGGAAGACAAAAACATTCAAAATATGGGGAAATATGGGAAATCTTCTTGTTTGTGTGTGTAATTATTTGTGTGTCCTGGGGCCCCTTCAGAGGAGAAGGTGCCGATGCCGCTGCTCGTCCCGCAGCGCCCTCGTCGCCGCGGCTGGCCTCTCCCCGAAGTTTCTGGCCGGAGCGCACCTCGGGAGGGGTTCCTCCAGGCGGGGGGGCGGCTGTCTTTCTCCGAGCTGAATCTCGCTGCCTGTCCTCGCCCTCTCTGCCTCCTCTGGGATAGTTACATACATATATGTATATATAGATACATACCTATATCTCATATATATATATATAGTTATACATGTGCATACACACTTATATATATACATGTGTATATATGTATATCTATATATATATATATATATATATATATATATCGGAGGTGAGGAGGTGAAATCGAAGTTGAACGGAGAGCCCCCCTACCGGGAAATCGATTTCGGTTTCGTGTTCGTGCGTGCCGTGCGGGCGGGCGAGGCGAAGCTGCGTGGACGGGCGAGAAAAAGTCTCCTGTGGCTGAGGCGCGGCCGGACCAAATGTCTCCCTTCCGAGCGGCCGGTGGCCCGCGGTGTCCCGCCGGTTTCCCGCGAAAGTCCCGTGTGGCTGAGGCGCTGCCGGACCAAATGATGCCTTTCCGGGCGGCCGGTGGCCCGCGGTGTCCCGCCGGTGTCCCGCGGTGTCCCGCGGTGTCCCGCGGTGTCCCGCCGGTGTCCCGCGGTGTCCCGCGAGGATGATGAGGATGATGAGA